ACTAGCACGCTAACCTAACCTCACTTAAATTTTATTTTAACCTTCGATCTCCTCGCACATTATATTCTCCTGATACCAGATTTCTGAGCTAACCTAACTAGCACGCTAACCTAACCTCACTTAAATTTTATTTTAACCTTCGATCTCCTCGCACATTATATTCTCCTGATACCAGATTTCTGAGCTAACCTAACTAGCACGCTAACCTAACCTCACTTAAATTTTATTTAACCTTCGATCTCCTCGCACATTATATTCTCCTGATACCAGATTTCTGAGCTAACCTAACTAGCACGCTAACCTAACCTCACTTAAATTTTATTTTAACCTTCGATCTCCTCGCACATTATATTCTCCTGATACCAGATTTCTGAGCTAACCTAACTAGCACGCTAACCTAACCTCACTTAAATTTTATTTTAACCTTCGATCTCGTCGCACATTATATTAAAAATTATTTACAGAAGTACTTTACTTTAAATTATTTTCCTCTCCAATAACAAAAATGAAGGAAGATTACAGTACAATAAGCACCTGGTCCTTCGCACTTTGCTGAAAACACAAATTTGGTAGGTATCAGGAAGATATAACGTGAAAGGAGGTCTTTCAGTCCCAAATACACGTGTTCTTTGTAGACAAACTTACGTAAAAGGTGTCTTGCTACTAGGAGAACAGAATTCACGAAGAGGTCTTTTTCTATCACTATGAGAGTTATTTCAAAGCTTAATTTCGATTTAAAAATTTGCCATTATGTATCGGGATCATATGATGTGCGGGGAGGTGTTTCTTTTCCTAATACTACACCTGTTACTTGTCAACAAACTTATCCAAAGGTTACAAAAGTTACAGCCCTTTGAATTTTCTTTCGAAATTGGTTTCTAGTCTATAACTTTTGATTGAGAAGTCTGATCGAAAAAGTACGAATTGTTTTGGATGCTACGCACCAAAATTAATAAGAAAAAGTGTTTCCTGAGAAATTTTGGTGCCCAGAGTCTTAAATGGCGCCACCGTCGCTTTTTAGTTCATCGAGATTTACCCAGGTTCTTAAATGGCGCCACCGTCGCTTTTTAGTTCATCGAGATTTCCCCAGGGTCTTAAATGGCGCCACCGTCGTTTTTTAGTTCATCGAGATTTCCCCAGGGTCTTAAATGGCGCCACCGTCGCTTTTTAGTTCATCGAGATTTCCCCAGGGACTTAAATGGCGCCACCGTCGGTTTTTAGTACATCGAGATTTCCCCAGGGTCTTAAATGGCGCCACCGTCGCTTTTTAGTTCATCGAGATTTCCCCAGGGTCTTAAATGGCGCCACCGTCGCTTTTTAGTTCATCGAGGTTTCCCCAGGGTCTTAAATGGCGCCACCGTCGGTTTTTAGTACATCGAGATTTCCCCAGGGTCTTAAATGGCGCCACCGTCGCTTTTTAGTTCATCGAGATTTCCCCAGGGTCTTAAATGGCGCCACCGTCGCTTTTTAGTTCATCGAGATTTCCCCAGGTTCTTAAATGGCGCCACCGTCGCTTTTTAGTTCATCGAGATTTCCCCAGGGTCTTAAATGGCGCCACCGTCGCTTTTTAGTTCATCGAGATTTCCCCAGTGTCTCTAATGGCGCCACCGTCGCTTTTTAGTTAATGTACTATATGTTCTATGCTGCTAATTGTAACTAAAATATGGTCAAGGACTTGGCCTGGGTATGCGCGTTTCAGGGTAAACGAGTTTGTCCGAAATTGTCCGATGAGACACGATTTGAGACTGTCAACCTTTAAATTAACAACCTCAATTAATTAATCGCTTAGATATGGCAAAATAAGCAAACCTATTCTTACTTGTGGACGTGTAGAAGGTAATCAAGAGTATTTAAAGCTTCCCGTACTTACGCGGTTACTGTAAAAGCTACTCTTTACGTAATCCGAGTGGTGTTCATGCGACGTTAGTTTACCCCACAGAATAAGACCTTCACAGAACAGAAACATAAATGGCGCTAAATTGTCACTGATTACAGCGTTTCCCGTGGTTGTACGGAGAACTATTTATCGCAGATTCAAATATTTTTTTGCAAAACCTGTATTATAACATTGCTGTTTCTATTCTGAGAAGGCCGTATTCTGTGGTTTACCCATATATATAAGAGAATATATGGGTTTACCCATATATATAAGAGAAGTATATATATGGGTTTACCCTGCGATTCACTAATACGACTACAGTGCCCTCTATCCGTGACCACCCAAACCCAATCGTCGCACCATTGCTTATACACACCTTTGTTTATACTATAATCAAAGATACATACAAATATGTGTATGATCAATGGTAGCACCGCTGAACTCTATGTGGTTGTGAGGTTAGGTTCAGATTTTTCTTATTAGCAAAGAATTCTGAATTTAAAATGCCATTTATGAAAGGACGGGCTCCTATAAGAAGAACATTACGATATTTAGAAGCGGGGAGATTAGTTTTAAAAAACGAAATAAAAATTTTTACAATAAATTACAACACTTTGGGGCCTCACCATACAGGCACAGAGTAAGGGTATGCAAACGATTTAAAAATACTGTTGCTACGATTATATTGCAGGGAATTCGTTTTTTGGTACCTTCCGCAAATTCAGTACAAAAATCCAGATGTACAAATAGCGACATTTAAAAATATGACACCTTCTCCATTTATTCGCTGTTTTTACGGTTTGACGAGTCTCATCTTTAAAAACTTACTTACATATTTTCGATTTTAGAAGCCGGTCATCAGATGTTAATTGAATGTGATAGCAAATCCAAGGAGGAGATACATGAACATTTACTGAAAGTGGTCGGAAAATCTGAGTACGAATCTGCATTGCACTAATGACCTTATTATTGTCTTGTATCTTTGCAGAGAGGTTCTGAAACAAGAAGCGATAGCTAGAGAAAAGAAAGATAATCCCGCTAATTTCGGTGTCGGTTGTGAACGACATTGCATTTGCGAAATTAATGGACAATTAACATGTCCTCAAATAGTTCCACTTCCTTTTCACATGAGGGGAAAACATAAAAATGCGGAGAAAGAATAAAAACAGTTTGTAGATATTGTAGTTTTAATGACTGTTTGTATAATTTGAAAGTAAGGTGTAATGAGCACCAGACAAATGGGGATTGTTGGAAAATTGATGCTGGTAAAAGTTAATTGTACTTCATCTTTGAATTTATAATAAAATGCAAAATTCGATTCGTGTTTTGCTATCAATCGTACAGTCAACATAGGTAACGGTATACTAAGATGCCCTTAAAAGGTAAGCAGCTTTCGCCACTTCTGGGGAGTGTGACTGTAAACTCCGTGTCTTTGGGCCACTATATGTTGCAGTATGATTTTATTTTTGCCTGCATTTGTGAGGTGTCGCTGCACGCAAACTGACAAATGATGTAAAGACTCTGCTAGAGCCCCCATTTTCAATGTTAACTGTAAATAAAACTCGAGATACAGAGGCAAAACGCAAGATCACATGGGACTTTGACACAATTTTGTATAGGGTTATCGAGGGTCAAGGGAAAACCACTGCTTGCTCATATGCATACTTTCTGACCACTAGTCGATTTAACAAGCACATGCGCCCTCTTGTGGAACATGTGAGAAGACTGGATACCACATGTCTCACAGTTGTTCATGGTCACGATTAGAGCCGCTTCCCCTGTAGGTGTCCTCAAGTGTGGGATATATGGCACAAGAGTAACCCTGGGCAGGGGCGGACTGACCCGGGGGGGCAGGTGGCGGTTGCCACCTGGCCTGTAGATCATAATGGCCCGTTGGAAATTTATAAGTATGTGCTGTATTTAGTTTATTGCACTATTAATAAATTATTAACACGTTTCTCTAATTGGGGTTGATATTAGGTTGTTAAAAAATTCTGTTTTAATTGAAGTGTTTTACATTTTTTGTCGTAACATGAAAGTGCTGAAATACAATGATAGGCGACGCACCTCGTGTGGATTGTATATTTTGTTACTTTTAATTATCAGCTGCAATTAAAAAAAAACTGTATGGTAATTGATTTTCGAGAAAGGAGTACTTTAAAATGTTTTTGTGGTGCACCTCAGAGCCCCCCCCCGCCACCTTCATTACTACACTAATACTTTAATGGCCCGTAACCTATGCAATTCCACCTGGCCCTTAAGTACCCAGTCCGCCCCTGACCGTGGGGACACAAGAGAGATTCACAGCCTCAAACAAAAATAAGCACATGCACTGCACGGGTTTGGCAGAATCACCATCCTGCGGAGATCCATGTTGCGGGTATCCTGGCTGGACATGGCTATAATTAGAACCGCCCGTCCTTCCAGCATCCTTAGTTTCAGCTCACGTGTAGGATGCCATTGAGGGATCGGGTGACTCTAGTTAGAGAGGGCCCGCATTTGAATCTAGAGATCAACAATAATAAGATTGTCTCCAATACAAGAATTTGATTACAAAATACAACTTAAATTCTATTGTCACCTCAATGTAGATGAAACTGTTACAAAATGAATACTTAAAATTTAAACAAAAGTGATTATCGTATGAGCCTGATTAACCAGCAACACATTTAATTCCTCATACTCTTCGATACATGAGTTAATTTCGTCCGGTTTATACCCTTTACTAGTACATTTCTCCACAACACTTGCCATCGATACCGTGTTTTCCCCTTTTGCACATTCTCGAATGATCGCGTAGATTCTGGTATGAGCCGTCGTCGGTCTGTCGAATTGTCTGATCAGATACGACACTCAATTACGCCTCTACTTACTTGTAAGCGCCTAAGTTCTGTAGCGTCTTATTTATCGAATCCTTACTCATCTCCATTAAACGAATCGCCTCCGTTACGTCGTCCTTTTCAACAACGTTAGACAAACGAAGTTTAGCCAATGCAGTTGATATTCGTAGTATGGCCAACAAGTTTCGCGCCGAGGTGAATGTCATGTCTTTGGAATTGCGCGCTTCCCTGCGCAGATCACAGTAGGCACCTTAAAGTGAATCATTTTGCATTTTTTTAAACATGTTAGTCTTGGAACATTTTGTTTATGTTGGCAATGCCGAGATTCGGCATAATTCAAATGGATTAACCAGAGTGAAACATATGCGTTCACTTTCTACTCATTTCATTAGAAGAATCTGAATCGGAAACCCATAATAGGGTTTTTTATTTCAAATTCAATTTTAATGAATAATAATTTATGGCATTATTATTTACAGATATAATTGAAAAGAAACAAAAAACAATTCAAATGTATGCAAAGGGGTTAAAAGGCAGTAAAAAAACTGAAAATTCTTAATTAAACTAATATTGACGCTGGATAGTTTATATTTTGAGCTGTGGTATTCTTTCTTTTTAGTCGTGATGATTTACTACATGTCATGGAAAAGAACATGTGCGAAACGCAAATACCAAAGCTGGTTTGCGCATGCGCACAGTTTTTTTAAAATTCCCTGCATAGTTGCTTGAGGTTTAAGCAATACAGAAAACCGGACATTCATATGTTCTTTGTAAAATTGATTTTTCACTATAACTTTTTTAGTAATAAACACAGGAAAAATTTCTTCCTCGGTGCAAGCCTCGACACCATAACGCACCAAATAGCGAAAAAAGTAGAACAATAGCTATTAAGATAAAGATCTAGTAGCGGACGGACAGATGGACGGACAAAGTGCCACAATAGCGCATTTTTTAATTTTTATGGAAATGCGTTAAAAAGGGAAACGAAGTAACATATAGATGTTCTCCTGGATGCCTCCACTTGATCCATCATGTGTAGTATTAATCCCCGAGAAAACCTTGACTGTGAATAAAGAAGGTTGAGTAATAGAGAAGGCAAGGCAGACAATAAAAACGTCTGGAGATTGATGAAAATCAACCCCTAATGGCCACTTACTTTTTTTTACATTATTCATACCTTTAATCTAATACAGGGTGTTCCTAAATATGATGTAGAGGTTAATTTTTCGACTTCTTTTACGAAGTCTGATCGAAAAAGTACGAATTGATTTGGATTCTACGCACCCAAATTAATAAGAAAAAGTGTTTTCCCGAGAAATTTTGGTGTAGTCGATTTTTTTGAGCCCCGAAGCAAAAATTGTCTCAGATCGACCCGGAAAAAAAGTTTTCTTATAGAAAATTACCAGTTTTTTTTTTAAATTGCAGCTGATAATTAAAAGTAACAAAATATACAATCCTCACGAGGTGCGTTGCCTATCATTGTACTTCAGCACTTTCAAAATACTACGACAAAAAATGATAAATTCATTGTAAAACACTTCAATTAAAACAGAATTTTTTAACAACCTAACATCAACCCCAATTAGAGAAACGTGTTAATAATTTATTAATAGTGCAAGAAACTAAATACAGCACATACTTGTAAATTTCCAATGGGCCATTATGATCTACAGGCCAGGTGGCAACCGCCACCCGCCCCCCCTGGTCAGTCCGCCCCTGCTCATGATGTAAGCCCTTCAGCATAACTTATATTCCAAATTTGAGGGAAATATCTCAAAAACTGCAGGAGATATAAAGAAAAATTTTTGAAATTATGACACCTTCATTAACTGAAATTTACCTTATAGGTATACTATGATTTTTCTTGAAAAAATTAAATGAGAAATAAAGGAAAGAATTAAATACTCGATATTTCAGTAAATCCCAGATCTATATCTTTTTTATGATCTTTAGTAGGTATGAGAATAGGTCGTAAAGAATGTTTCATACCGCTGCGCCGCCTCACCTCGCACTTGAAACTTTGGCGAATGGTTGGACGCATGCCCGCGAAGGTTTCTGATGTAGTAAAATCGTGCGAGGTGAATCTTTGAGACTACTATCACTGTTACGTTTTGAAAAAGCCCTCATTACCCCTTTACAAAATTTTAGTAGCCCTTAAGAGCCTTTATGAGCTTTTAACGAGACCTTTTTCATTGATTTTTCAAGGAACTATTTTAATCAGGAACTTTTGAACCACTGATGAGCTCTTCCCAATATTTTCAAATCAAAACGTAAATCATTGAGGATGAAAAAATACAAACAAAAAGACAATCTCCAAGAAATCATCATGCCATATAACACTTTGTTCATCTAACTTAATCAATATTGCCAACACAAAAAAAAGGCCAACTCATACGAAAAAAAGGTCAAAATATTACCAATAATGTGTTCGGTCAAGTGTACCGGGACGACGGGTTCCTTGGTCTTGCAAAGGGCGATGTATTTTCTCATCACAGACATGTCGAAGGCCTCCACCTCTGTCGGAGGTTGTCGGCAATGCTGATGGACGTAGGCGATATGGTTTGCCAAACGTAGATCGTTTTCCCTATCTGCTTTGTCTTGAATTAACCACAACAAATCGAATCGTGACAGAAGTGCGGCGGGGGGATTAATATTTTGCTCGATGGTACGTTTCGGATTATAGCGGCCAAAAACTGGATTGGCCGCTGCTAAAATCGACGTGCGCGCGTTGAGGGTGGTCATTATTCCGGCCTAGAATTGGGAAACATTTCAAAAATTCAAAAATTATCACATTAAACTTAATGTACAGCAACGATTAATGAACATAAATGAAATAATGGAATGTTTTCCCTCATAGTAACAGAGATAATAAAAATAAAATACAAAAAAATTTGAATTGCTTAAAAAAATGGGAGGAGACACGTGTACCTTTGCAATACTAATCGTCTGTTGCTCCATTACTTCGTGTATGGCCACACGGTCAGCATCTGCCATTTTATCAAATTCGTCGATACAACACACTCCCGTATCGGCCAGGACAAGCGCACCTCCTTCCAAAGTCATCTCGCCTGTTAACGGATCTTTCATTACGGCAGCTGTTAAACCAACTCCGGAAGAACCGCGACCTGTAGTGTACTGACCTGAAATGTATTTTGGTTATCAATCTATTGGCCAATCTAGTCCACTTGTTAGAAGTGTTTGTTATTTATGCCAATAACTCAATAACTAGAGTGGCCCTAATATTTAAATCTACATTCATTTCTGGCATCAAAAAAGTAGTTGCCATTTGAAAAACAGAAAACTCACCGTTTCTGAGGTTTGATCCAAAGTTGGTATTTTTTTAAACACCCTGTATATTTTAATGTTCCTTTTCCTGATTACATTGATGCATCACAACCTATAGTATTTTAAATTTTATGGATGAACATTGTAATAAATTATTTTTTACTTTTTAAATAGTAGGCCATGGATTCAGGGAGATTTTGTTTTGTTTATTGCATGGTAATCAATAAATGGCAGTAGAAACATGTCATTGAGAAAATAAATAAATAAAATAAAATTTAGGACAATACACATCAATGTTATCACGAAAAAAAATGCAGTGTCTCTACTCGACCTAATTATTTCATTTTTCAAAAATATTGTGAAACATAAAAAATCATGTTTATATATGACATACTTCTATGCGCAAGACGATTGATATAACCGAGAAGTTGAGACTTGGCAACACCAGGATCCCCCATAAGACAAATGTTGATATTTCCTCGAATTTTAATTCCGTCATTCACACGATCCACTCCGCCGACCAGCAAGCACAGCAACGCCTTTTTAATATCCAGATGACCGTAAATCTCGGGAGCCAAAGAGTTTGCCAACTTCGAGTAGAAGTTCTCGTCCGCTAACGCCGCTATTTCTTCGGCCGTCAACATTTTGGAGAGTCTCGAGTCGTCGTCCGATTTATTCATACATACGACATGCTGGAAAATTGCCGTTACTGTCTTATAATAAACGATTGGCGCTTACGTGGGCCTCGAGGTAGGTCTCCGATAGCAAACCTCCCGAAATTTGTTGATAGCCCGTCCTAAGCAAGGGCAAGTATATTCCCGTTACGGCAACGTGATCACCTGGTAAAGCCAAACGAGTCAGCTCCCCTCTGCAGCAGATCACTAACGAGCGAGGAATATGACCGACCGGCACTTGATCGCTCTAAAACGATAATGTTTATATTACGAAAAAATGACTTTATTTATTACGTGTTCTTGAATGCGGATTTCTTGAAACTTGACAAACTTGGACCCTCGAGTTTGCAAGTAAAGACGCCCTCCTGATTTGTTAACCCTGCAATCTTCGCTGGGGCACATTTCAATCGGCATAAATGTTAAGGCGGCAATCGGCTGGTAAGTTTCTGCTCCGCATTGGTTGCATGTGTACGTGGCAACTGATATCATCGGTTTGACTTCGGTGCATCTGGTTACAATCCCTTTAACCGTGACCAGTTTTCCGACACAGTCAGCTTTGATATCGCGAATCGCCTGAGTTTTTTCGATATCCATGTCTTTAAAGTAAATTTCGCTGTAACCAAAGCGGATTAAACACAGTCAATTTCGAAACAATACCCACAATCGACGCATTAATTCCGGCGGATATTTGTTCTGTGCGTCACGCTGTTCGTTTGGTTGTCTCATCCTGTTTTCCATCAATAATCGTTGGGCGATGTACACGTCCAAAGCATCTTTGCTAACCACCTCGTGCTCTTTAAATGTCGGTAACAAATCGTACACAACATCAGATATCATGTTATTGTAACGTCTCGCGTTATTTTTTACTGCCTCAACGAGCTCTTCGTCGAAATTATACAGATCCTCTAATTCGATGTGCAGCGCGACTTGCTCTCGATGGGCCAGTTTGGTAAGTTGATTCGCATACTTGAAGTTCTTGCTACTACCATTTTGCTCGCAGTATTCAATGAGAAACGTTTTTAATGAAGCTAGAAACTTTGTTAAAAGAGTTTTAAGTAAATATTCGCATTACCTTTATCTTTTTCGTAATCTCGTCGTGCCATTCTAAATACTTTAAAACTTTTTGATAAATTAATCAAAACCGACGCAAACGTTCAAGTTTAACCTAAAATATTTTGGCGGCAAGCGGCAAATGCCACAAATTACACGCGCTGCAATTATTATACTTGCGAACCATTACTTATAATTGAAGACTATATACATACTCAGGGGTGGATTAGCGGTTTTACTGGGGGCGCAGTTGTATACATAGGTCTGGAAACCCTGTTGATGAGGCCCTTAAGCAGCTAGAAAAATACCTAGCTACTACTTTATTTTGGCTACGGGCCTGAGGCAAGGCATACAAATATAAGACTTTATAAATTCTAAAATATTAAACAGAGATCATCTAGGTATAAGATTATGTGATTTTAAAATGCGGGAACCCTAAAATATAAATACACCCCGCTAGAGTTTGGACCATGGAATGATGAAATGAATATTGTCTAGTCCTATCAAGATTTGTCGCTTACTCACCCTCGGTTATCAATATTTTGACGGTGATGGTGTTTAATTTGATTGTACAATGTTAAATATTTTTGAGTTCAAATTTTATGTTTCTGCGCAATCGCATTTTTGTCATGGCTTGATTCTGTGTGGAAGTTCGTTGTTACTTTGTTGAATAAAGCACTAGTATGTAATTACATGCAGTTTGCGAATTGTTTTTGATCTGTATTGAGAAGTACGAACTGCCAAGAAAAATTAAACCCAGGGGCGGACTGACCCGGGGAGGCGGTTGCCACCTGGCCTGGAGATCATAATGGCCTATTGGAAATTTATAAGTATGTGCTGTATTTAGTTTCTTGAACTATTAATAAATTATTAACACGTTTCTCTAATTGGGGTTGATGTTAGGTTGTTAAAAAATTCTGTTTTAATCGAAGTGTTTTACAATGAATTTATCATTTTTTGTCGTAGCATGAAAGTGCTGAAATACAATGATAGGCGACGCACCTCGTGTGGATTGTATATTTTGTTACTTTTAATTATCAGCTGCAATTTAAAAAAAACTGTATGGTAATTTTCTATAAGAAAACTTTTTTTCCGGGTCGATCCTTTTTTAGCAAAAATCGACTACAGCAAAAATTCTCGGGAAAACACTTTTTCTTATTAATTTGGGTGCGTAGAGAATCCAAATCAATTCGTACTTTTTCGATCAGACTTCTCAATCAAAACTTATAAGACTAGCAACCAATTTCGAAAGAAAATTCAAAGGACTGTAACTTTTGGAGTAGTAGCCCCCCGCCACCTTCATTACTACACTAATACTTTAATGGCCAGTAACCTATGCAATTCCACCTGGCCCTTAAGTACCCAGTCCGCCCCTGATTACACCCTCTCAGACAAATTCACTTTTTGTAAATGTGGCCAACAATACAGCAGCAATTAAAATTTTTTAAAAATTAATTAATTTTCTCCAAATTTAAAAATGACATACCTCGTTTTTAGCGCATTTTCGACTCATGTTGGAAGGCGCTATATGGCCACTTCATTCGTCCATCCCAGTTTTGAAGATATTTAATTCGTTCCTCTTGCATTCGGTAGCTTATAGCTCTGGCCACTTAACCCAGAAAAATCTTGACGATTAATATGCACAATGGCATCAGAGATTTTTCAGTGGATCACCACTCCCGTCTGCTACCCCAGTTGCAAGGTGGATTAAATGTTCAAATTGTTTACTTAAACATTTTGATTTTTTACCCGATTTCAATTTCAAAATAGAACCTTTTATTTAAAAACCTACTAAAAACAATAATACAAGTGCTAAAAGTCGTCAAAATCCTCTTCATACTCATCGATGGTATGATTTTCAACGCTAGGCAATATAATAGAATCACGGTTTTGAACAAATAATGATGAGAATAATTTGGTAAGATTAATGGTGGCATAGCCGGAATGCTGCAACACTCTTTCCACCGTTTCTTTAAGGTTATGAATTCCACTTTCAATCGTTCCATCTAAAATTGGACCTACAAACAGTGCAAATTAAAATTTGAACGTTACAAAAATACTCTTACGTTTGTCCAGCTTACTTAGATCAAAAATGTGCTGAAAATATCGAAGTTGATTGTATAAGTCGCCCTCTGTGTACTTTTGGTACATGATTCCTTTTTTACAAAATGTACATATCGGATATTTGCCAACAAACTTAAGGGGCACCCGCGTTGTTTCGTTAACGCAAGCGGGATCTTCGCAGGTCAACTGATTGCGATAATACTGTTTTATATACCCTCGAATTGAGAGTGTCAGTTGGTTACTAACCGAGCCTAAATAGTCGATCGGACGGATACCACATTCCGGATTGGCACATTTAGTTAAAAATGGAACATTTCCGTCAAACACTCCGGTTACCTTATTTTCCGTCTTGCAAGATGTACATATGAACACGAATGGATCAACGTTAGTAAACAGGTTGCGTGTTTTTGCCAAGTTATCCGTAGGTTCGGTAGTGCTTCTTACTGGCTTTTTAAAGTTAGTGGTGTCTAAACCTAAACAGTTGGCGATTTGGTACGGATCGGTACCCTCGAGCGGTTCGCACAGTCTTGACACTACCGGATGTATTTGTTGCCCAAGATAGTACTTTATGTCGATTTTTAAGTGTTCCGAATTTTTTAGTTCTTCAATATGATAGGCCCTTTGGGTTGCAGGTAAGTTAGTACCGTCTTCGCATATGATGTACGAAACTATATCGCCCGCTTTGAAAACACGACCGCCCCGCTTATTGTAACGCAATGCCACCTGAACGTGAGGAAACTGCGTGTGATTGTTGTACAAACGTGGATCCTTCGTCAACTGCTTGGTGATTACAAGTAGAGACAGTGGGACTTTGTTTTGATCCAAATCTTCCTTCAACTTCGCCAGATGCGCGTGAATATTCTCGATGCGGTCTTCGTACGGTTGATCATTTAGTATGTTGTCTAAGGTAACTTTGCCGGCGGTCGCCGCCAGTTGCGACCAATCACGTCGGACTATATCCAAACCTACAAACAAACCACAGTTCACCAATCATTAATAACGAATCTTTTCACCTTTGTGCTCTTGGTGGTACTGCAATTGATGATTTCTGTCTTTGGAAATTACAACGGCAGCGTACTTTTTCTTCTTCAACAACAGCAAATACTTAAAGACCCCGTCGATATCCAGCTCGATCTGCTTATACAACTTATTCACCTCCTGCTTAATCCTCACGCCAATTTTAAATACGTCATCGTACTCCAACGTGTTCGTGTTAATCATAATACTATCAGTGTCGCCATAGATTACTTGATAGAGCATTTTTTCGACGAGATCCTTCGTGTTTGTTAAAATTTCGCGCCCCTTAAAAGTGACGAGCGCTGCCAAATTTTTCGCATAGAAACGAGAATGCACAAAACCTAGGCATCCGTACATGCTGTTCGCCGTTAGCTTTAACGCCATCTGTCGAATGTTGTATTGCATTTTTAAGTCCGGCGCGAGATCCGGGTTGTTCATTAGTTTTTTGACGTACCGTCTGCTCTCGACCAGCTTGCGAATTTCGGTTGGTAAAATTCCTGGAAATATTACTTTAGTATTGTAATTAAAGTTTCACACTAAAGGCCGGTATTATAAACCATAGCTATGTTGTCAGCTAACAGTGTTGTTAAGGCATGTGATTGGATGTTTTTTTCAAAGAAAACATCCAATCACATTCCTTAAAAAACATAGTTAAGAATGCTTTAGAATATCAACCGTAAGAGATTCAAAAGGAAGGTTTTAAGCTTGACTAATTGTCATTAGACTTTCCTCCACAAGCGTATTAAATTTGTGATAAATGTAAAAGTAAAACAAAAACAGCAATAAACCACAGGCGCCTGCCATTTTGGCTAGGACATGACTTGTCATAAAGAGTGGTGTAGTTGTGTAGCTGCCCCTAATTCCAACTTAACATAAAAGTTAAGTAGACAGGCACAATAAACGAAAGTATAAACGCAATCACAGCAGTATAAATCACGGTTGTCAGTTATTGGATCGTGTCCGAGATAAGAAGGGCCACTACGGATATTCTAGAAACGGAGAAAAATTGAGCAATCAAAGGTCTAAAAAGAAATTCATGAAATTTTTTTGGTTTTTCAAAATGGAAAAAATGAAACTGATGACGGTTTCCCAAAGACGAAACGTGGATTAAAAAATTAACCGCCATCTTAAAGAGACTTAAAAGTTGCTGTGGAAAAGTGTCCATGGTTTCGCTCTGGGTCAAATATTAACGCCAGAAAAGTAGTAGAATCGAAAAATCCGATTTTTTCAAAATGTTTCAAAACAAAAAATTTTTCAGCGATATAATGGTCCTCTTTATCTCTGATACAGTACAGAAAAGTATATAAGACAGTATACAGGCAGGGTTGCCATCCGTCCGGGTTTCCCCGGATTTGTCCTAGTTTAGGGGGCGCGTCTGGGCGCATGGGCGTACGCAGGGAGGGGCAAGGGGGGGCAGCTGCCCCTCCCTGGCCTGGCCACGTTTTATGTTTGTTAAAAAATATCTGTAGGAATTATCTTTGTTGGCTTCTAATTCAAAACCTTTTCTTTTGAGATTTAAGCAATGAAAGAGGTTTTAAGCTATAAATTAAAATCGCTGTTCCCATGCCCATCGGATTACTCGGCACACCGGCACTTGTATATCTAGGCGCCAGCCCGACTCGCCTGCCGTCGGGCTGAGCGAAGTTATCGTTCACTAATCGCGCGTTAACACAAACCACTGTGCAGTGGTCACCAGTGATGTTCCGTCTACCGATTTGTCAAAAATTCTACAGATATACCGAAATGGCCTTTATATCTACCTATCTATTTTCGCCGTGTTTTTTTTTTTCATATTTAATACAAAATTAATTGATATAGAAGCGGTAATAACTAATATTTTGAGATATAATCATTTTGAAGACGTTTTTAGTAACTATTACTTACCTACTAAAAATAAAAATGTATATTATGTTTCATTAAACATTTTTTTTTCCCGCCAATTTTATTTTTTGCCCCTCCCTAGACCAAAAGCTTCGTACGCCCATGTCTGGGCGGGGTTTCATTGGTAGTCCGGGTTTTAGGCTACTGAAGATATCTATGAGTTTCTGTCAAAACAAGATAAACTTTTAAGGCGCCAATCTCCTTTGGTTACAATTTTTTAAAACACCGAATCCTCATTAAACTTGCGAGTTATTGAAAATTGTCTGGTGCTTTTTTTTGCATTCCTGCACATAATGCCAACGTTGAAAGAATATTTTCACTAGTGGCATAACAGTGGACCAAAGAAAGGAATTTTTCCAATACCTAAATTGTTTTCTTGAATTTAATCCCTAATTTTTGTACATTAACAGGTAATTTTAATCCCTAGAGATTAATAAAGTTTTAATCCCTCATTTTTGTTTTCTTGTAAACAATTCATAGAAAAATGGATTTAAATCGATCGGTATTGGAACAAATAGTATAAGCAACACTGGATTAAAATGGTTTTTGTTCCCTTAAAAATATTAAAAAAATATTAAATTTAAACCATTCTCTCAGAAACAAACTCTTTTTAATCCCTTGTTCCTTTATACTATTATTGAATTTGAAACAGTCTAGTCAGTGATAAAAATAAAGTAGAATTTCAAAGACTATTTCTTTAGACAATATTTTTTCTAAATTTCAGTTGATATGTCCGGGTTTATAATCCCTAAATCCGGGGTTTTCACGCCTCCTGTCCTAGTTGGCAGAGTTTTGAGATGGGAACCTTATATACAGGGTGTAGCACCTAAGATCCCTCGGATTATAACTCCTTTACCATAAAAGATACCGAAAAAAGTCTTAAATTGTACACAATTACCGCCGGCATGTTTCTAAGATATTTTTGATCACCAGGGGGTGTTGTATTCCAGTGGCGTATCAAACTTGCATTTTTTTAAATGGAACACCCCATATTTTATTACCAATTTGGAGTGTTTTTGAAAAGTACTTATTTTTTTTAGAACTTTAACGATTTCGCTGTTATAACCTTTTTTCGTCAAAATTTGAGTTTTTCGAAATTTTTTTTGAGAAAAACTAAGTCGAAAAAATAAAATGTTTGATTGACCTTTGCTAAATGTCATATTTTTTAAAAATTTCAAATGGCACCCCCCTAAACAAATTATACCTCTGTGTAACCAAAACTACACAAATTTTTCACTTATATAAACAAAACCACACATTTCATAATAAAATTTCAGAAAAAAACCAAGTCGAAACACCAAAAAAAAAAAACGTTCTTTTCCAAACCCAAGTGTGCTATGATAAAACAATTAACAGTACTGTGTCGGCAGTGTATGATTGTTTTTTAATCAACCTTTCGAAAATGTTCCAAACACAAGCAGGAATTGTTGATATAGTGTTTATTCTTAGAGACGTTACCGGAATTGTTTGCTGGTGTCACAAGTGGACGCTGGGAAATATCCTGGCAGCATACATTCAGATCCACGCGTGTTTCAAAATGTGTTGGATAGATTTACAACTACTGGGAGTACTAATTTCACGTACACTAATATGGCGATTGTCAACAGCTTGCAATTCGTGATCTTGCGCCAAAACCGACGTTCGTTTAATTTTCCTTGGTCGTTTTACACTCCCTGCGGCTGTAAATATATCCAACACATTTTGAAACACTCGTCGATCTGAATGCGTGATTACACTACCGACACTACTGTTAATTGTGATAATTGAACATCTTTATTCTTTTGTTTTATCATGGCACACTTGAGTTCGGAAAAGAACGTTTTTTTACAAATTGAAATTGGCGTTTCGCCTTGGTTTTTCTCAGAAATTTTCTTATGGAATGTGTGGTTTTGTTTATATCAGTGGAAAATTTGTAGTTTTGGCGACCAAAGTTTTAGTTTAGGGGAGTGCCATTTGAAATTTTAAAAAAATATGACATTTCAGTCAATCAAACATTTTATTTTTTTGATAAAGTACCTAAAAAAATTATGTGATTGTGGAAGAGGTCTTAACCTGTACCTCAATCCTAAAATTACCTGCCTGCGCGATTTAATTTCTCTTCAAATTTTGACGAAAAAAGGTTATAACAGCGAAAGTTAAGGGTATAACATGTTAACATAAAAAAATAAGTACTTTTCAAGTACCCTCCAAATCAGTAATAAAATATGGGGTATTCCATTTTAAAAAATGCAAGTTTGATACGCCACTGGAATACAGCACGCTCCTGGTGATCAAAAATATTTTAGAAAATGCCAGCAGTAATTGCGTACAATTTTGCTCTAAGACTTTTTTCGGTATCTTTTATGGTAAAGGAGTTATGATCCGAGGGTTCTTAGATGCTACACCCTGTATAATAAAAAACTACTATAGATTGATTGTAAAATTTAGATTTTACTGGAGGCAACGTCGATTTATTAAGATTATTGGGATAGGATATTGTTTTTTTTGTTTATTTGTCTTTGTTTTCTGTTTTTTGTTTGTTTAAGCCTGCTTGATTAAAAAGTCAACACAATCAAGTGTATTTTTTATTCAATCATAGGTAGACCTTAGACTAAAAGAAATAAAAAAATTTGAAATCCTCTATTTTCAGTTTGAAATTTTTTCTGCTGAACCCCCGAAAGTGGAACGTTTATGTTCTCACTTTTCTGCCCGTCTGTCCCACTGTCTCGTTTCGTGCTATAGCTTAGTTTGACTTCGTATCAACTTCAGGGTTTTACTATATAGAAGTTTATGGGTTCCAGATATGCAACTATCAAAAATTAATTTTGGCATCTATTACATTGTTGCCCAAAATCGGACAAAATCGTTATTTATTAACCAATTTGGCCGGGAAATAGTTTAAACTCTATTCCATGATGCCTAAGAAGTGGTATTTTTGGTAACCAAAATATGTTTAGCCAAAAGATGTCAAAATTGTTAGTCATGGAGAAACTTCCTTGAAAAAGAAAAGTATAAGTCGATGCCAAAAAAGTGATCCATGTGTATTGTTGGTGACCAACATATTTTTTGCCAAAAAAATATAAGCAAGTTTTTGGATCCCCGTGCAGTGTATATCTTAACGTCAATTTTTTGCATTATTTACATCGACTTAACTTGAATAATATTGAATCCATATTTTTAAATAAAGAACTACCTACTGCTTTTCGATAACAATTAACCATACCTGGAGGTAACTGTTGATCAGGAAGGGAGATATCTTCTTCGCTGTCCGTACTAGAAATCGTAGTAAAACAAATATTATACTCTTGAATAATGCTCGGATACAAAGAGTTGAAATCCATTAACAGAACCAATTTATCATAAAAGCCCACTTTCGGATCTAACACGAGGCCACCCGAATATGCGGGTTTCTTCTTCGAAGATGCGTTCCTTTTCGTCTCCCCATCATCTAAATCTTTAAAGGTGTTCTTCTCAGGAACGATGTAATCCCTTTCCGAGAACGCGTGCAAAAGCAAAAGTTCATTTCGCTCCGATCTGCCGCCCAGTAGAGTTCTCGACATTACATTTCCGGCAATGTTGGTGATTTGCAGGGCTAAAGGAATGACGTTTAACTCGTACATTATTTTCAAAATGTACGCGGCATCCTGCATCGTGAACGTAATTAACTTGAGAATGTCGGTAGAAGTTTGAAAAAATCTCGGCACTTCGTCGCTTTCCATTTCAATACGCTCCCCTTGCCCCAATTTCAGCACGTTCTGACACAAAGTGCCCAAATCGTACGATCTCGATTTGATTAGCTCCTTCGAGGAAAGCTTAATGTCGCAGACAAGCCGACCGACAAAGAGATCTTTCTCTAGGAGACGCTTATTGGGCACGTCTGCACGTTTGACCTTGCTCAATCGGCTTATATTGCTAGTTTTGCAATGCAGCAGCCGTTCACATAACAGTCCGATTTGGTAGTCGAGCAAGTCGTGGCCGACGACGACGTCGGGGTCGATCTTCTGAACTTGTAGAAGAAAATAGTTGAGCAACGCGCGTTCCGAATCCATCTTTTGAACTTTGGTTGCTTTGAACGTCTGGAGGGCATTGTGAATGTCGTAAGGAAAATTTTGATCTCCGGGTCGAGTGAAAACTACAATTATTATTTTTTTTTAAAAAGTGACCGGTTAATATTACACTTACCGCAGAAGTGTTGCTGAAACAACGGATTTGGTGGCTTTTTGTCGACGGCGTATTTCGAGTGCACCAAAAATGACATCATCACGATTTCGTTTTGCATATTTGTCGAGTTGACGACCGTTTGCATGTTGATGGTAAGGGCTACGAGAGACGGAGGCGGCGGCGGGTCTTGAACTATTGAAACGTCGATCGGTTTCGAGCAGTGTATTTCGAATTTGCAATAACTGACGGGGTTATGCACGGGTTCGGGGTTGACTATGTCAAGCCAGCATGGACCTTTTATCCTGCGTTCCAGTAGGAAAATTTCAAGAAAGCTGCTTCGACTTCCAAAAACGCACGAGAATGTTTTACCGCCATCCTTGCAAATATCTGCGTCAACGCGAGGATTTTTTCCCTGAAATTTGATTTATTAAACCGCAAGACTGAGACAAATGGATTTGAAAGCAAATGAAAGCCAGTTAACAAATCGATGTCGTTAGTAGTTTGTTTCTAGCCCTTTTAGTAACTGCCCGGTAACTCAAAGTTGATGATTTTTTTGGATGAAAATTATAGTTGGCCATGGTTTTAAAGAATTGCTTGTTTTAGGAGTTTTCCGAAAATGTATTGTTTTCAATAATAAGTTCTTTACAATAAATTTTGTTTATTACTTATCTGATAATAAACAATAAAAATATAGTTGCCTGTAGTTTGTTTTTTTTTTGGAAAAGTAGTTTAGCAAAATAGCATTTTTAGCACTACAGGGTGCATCCAAAAGTAGATATTGATATTTTTTAAAATTTATTTTCTGTGTCAAATTCTACGCATAATAAAAATAATTCGAAAATGAATTTTAAAAAATACGGTTCTATTAAAAAAATCAACTTTAGTATCAGTATCTACCTTTTGACGCATTCTGTACTACTTTACAATAGCCTTCCTTAGTATAAGAAAATAAATACAAGAGAGGAATAATAAATAAATAAATAAGATCCTTGCCCATTGCTGCTCTGAAGTCTCGCCTTTTATTGTCAAGAAGAGTTTACTAAAAACTGTCCTCATAGTTAAAATTTGACTCTGTTATCTTCTTTTGTCTTTAAATGTACCTTTGTATTTAGTTTGTAATATTTTTCTAATGACAACCGTAAATCTACCCACACGAATAAACGGTATAATAAATATTATTATTATTATTATGTATATTTTCACTTTAGTGCAAAAAATGAGCAAGAAAAAATTATGATAGACGTGTGCCAGCACTTTTTTGAACACCTTATTTCGCTATTGGGCAAATGAAAATCCGCATCTACATCTAAACGAGCTCAAAGAACATTTGGGTTTAATGTGTGGTGTTGTCTGAAACGACATAGTTTAAAATATATTTTTAGATGACGATACATCCAAACATTAGAGCACAATCTGGAAGATTTGCTCAATAATAATTTTTTTGAATAGAGATGAACGTATATTTTTCTACAAGACGGTGCCCCAGCTCATAATGCATTAATTGTTAAAAATTATTTAAATGATCTCGTACCTAATAATTGGATAGTCGCAGGGACCAATAAAATGACCAGCACGTTCAGCCTACCTAAGCTCATTGAATTTCTTATTGTGGGGTTTTTTGGAAAACAAAATTTATAAATATCCTTCTATAACTGAGAAAGAGAGTTTGAAGCAGTTCAACCACGACAAATCCAGAATGCAACAAGTTCTTTGAGAAAGAGATGCATCATGTGCATTTCTCATTTTCTCATCGCAACCATTGTCTCAATAGTCGTTGTCATGGATTTTAAGGTTAAGCTAAGTTCTGCTGAAATTTGTTGCTACAAACAACCATTAAAAATAGATTCAAAGGTTTCCCAACAACAATGTGTTATTATTATGCGAGACTAGGGAGGGAATTTATCCTATTTACATTTCTCCCAATTAGTCCAGGAAATAGAGACTGAAAATGGACCATTTCCTGCAAAACGAGAAGTAGTTCCAATTTTTTTGGATGTCATGAATATATCTGGTGGTTAAGAATCCAAGTTTTCGACCTCCTACCCCTTGTGCTTCCCCCGTACCATCCTTAAAACCAAAGAAATTTTGTTGGTTTTTTAGTTTTTCAATCATATCTTTTTATAGGTACATTTTACAAAAAAATATTGTTATCAGCAGGGGCGGACTGACCAGGGGGGGCGGTTGCCACCTGGCCTGTAGATCATAATGGCCCGTTGGAAATTTGTAAGTATGTGCTGTATTTAGTTTCTTGCACTATTAATAAGTTATTAACATGTTTCTCTAATTGGGGTTGATGTTAGGTTGTTAAAAAATTAAAAAATTCTGTTTTAATTGAAGTGTTTTACAATGAATTTATCATTTTTTGTCATAGCATGAAAGTGCTGAAATACAATGATAGGCGACGCACCTCGTGTGGATTGTATATTTTGTTACTTTTAATTATCAGCTGCAATTTAAAAAAAAACTGTATGGTAATTGATTTTCGAGAAAGGAGCACTGTTTTTGTGGTGCACCTCAGAGCTAACCCCCCCCCCGCGACGCCACACCTTCATTACTACACTAATACCTACTTTAATGGCCCGTAACCTAACCACCTGGCCCTTAAGTACCCAGTCCGCCCCTGGGGAGCTTCATTATAATATTTGCTAGTCACTAAATATAGAAAGTACCGCAATCATCCGCCATTTTTGGGCAAATTTGCTGCTAACTTAAAATAATTGACAAATAAAATCTTAATAGCTGTCATTTTTTATAACCTAACTTCATAGTACTGTCATGTTTTATAAAAATATTATACAGATATCTCCAAACAGGTGGAACAATCCCTAACATTAAAGTTACTAGAATCTGGTAACTTCCGCCATTTTTGGGCAAAAATCATGCGTTCTCTCTCTAACAAACGAGCCCAATGGATTGCGGTACTTTCTATATTTAGTGACTTTCATATTTGCTTAATAAAATCGAAGCTGTTTATGAAAGAAAAACCTTCACTTACAGAGTATCGAATTTCCAAATACTCAGACTCGGTCGGTATATTAGGATCAAAACAGTAGTACTTTGTAACCTTCCTGGACTTGAACGACTTTAAACACAGTCGGGGCGCGTAGTTATTATTAAATTCGTGGTAAACGTCAATCATAGACACGGGAGTGTCGGTCGGCCGCCTGTGCAGATCCAAAACCTAAATAAAACGGCATATTTACAGTTGTTTACCGAAAATGTTGTTCCTTACGTGAGTTCGAGGTAGTAGGTATATTTTCCTTTCGACATTTTGTACCACCACGCAACAGCTGACGTACGATTTTACCGCATCGCAATAGGTCTTGCCAAAGAGAAATATTTCGCCTGGACGCTTTGTGACGTTCTCGTACGCGTCCCACCAAAAGAAACGAAAGACTGGATTACCCGCACTGTCCTTCACGGTAGGTATTTGGGAACAATCGACGTGAACATCGCTTTGAGGAATATTCGACGTTCCCTCCTGCAATGTATCCCATCCGGTAGATAGCTGCTCTTCGGTGACATTGGTCCTCGGCTCTACCACCGTAATATCTTGTGACACATCCTGTATTTCACTCACATCAAAGTCGTCTTCAAACTGCGACTGTATGTCTTCTATTGTGAACGAGTCCACCTTCGATAATTGAGTCGGTTTTGGTGGTTCCGGTTGTGAATCGTCGACAATATCCATGGATTCGACAATTTCATTTTCTTCCCCCTCCGGCTGCACTTCGGGCTGCAGTATAGGCGTAACTTTCGGTTTTGATAATTTAGGCAACGAGAAGCTATTCAAGTAATCCTTTGCCGCTTTCTTATCGGCAGACAATGAGAATTTCGCAACAGACTTGGGCTTAATTATTTTTTCGGAAAGCGATCTGCCCGGTGTGTTATCGTCAATTTCGGCCAGTAAATCGGACAAGACGTTATCGTCGCCCAACTTCACTTCCTCTTTTCTTTTGGATGGCATGTTGGAGATGAGATACTGCAAATTTCCCTTGCCGGCGTTTTCGGAGATGCCCTTAGTCTTCTTGCGATTTTTCCCCTTTTTTGACGATGCCGCATTTGCAAGAGACTCCGCATCCAGATCATCATCAAATATGTCTCGGCCGTCCTCAATGTAACCACTACCATCTGTCCAAAATAAACATATTTCAGTCCCTCAAGAAGTAACGTTTTTAGTGTGAATGGAGTAAAATATGACGTCCAACTTGCCCATTTTTCGATTTCAAATTGTTCATTTGTTTATTAATTTAAACAATTGACATATTTTAACTACAATGTTTTAATATCAGATAAATAATCGAAAAGAATTTAATTTGCATACCAACATAGTCCATATTATGCATAATTTTCTTAGGAGGCTTTGAAATAAATGCGTTAGTAGACCTATCAGACAAATCCTTTCACTTATAATTGCACCAAGGGGTTTGTATTTTACCGAGGAAAAAAAAATTTAGTGAAAATCTGTTGCAAAGCAATTAGACGACAAACATCAACGAATAAAAATGCAACACTGAAGGTGGAATGTTTTTAGAGTTTCAAGACCAATTGCTAAAGGATGCAGATTTGAGTTTCCACAACACAAATGTACTTGGTTTAAATACAAACCTCGAGTGTAATTCGACAGGGCAATTTAACAAATAATCATTACGAGCAAGTAGGTCTGCCAGTTTTATATCTGCATTAACCTTACCATCATCAACAATCCAATCATCGTCCTGCCGATCTAACACTTTTTTAGTATACTCCCTTTCATCGACTATTTCGTACACATGATCAACATCAGACACTTCGTACTTGTTCTTTGAGCCCTTCAACTGTTTTAACTTCTCAAATGCGGCGAGCCTTCCCGGTCTACTCTTCTTTTGTCGCTTTGCTCTAGGTTCATCTAAAAAAGGATTATGAATGTTCTACTAGTTCTGCACCTGTTCGATTACCTGCACTTTCTTCCATTTTAATAATTCGATCGAGCTTGCCCTTATTTTATATTTTGATATAAATCTGGATGTGTATTTCGCGTTTTGGCGGTAAATAGTAACAGACATAACCTACAACACATGGACGTACGCGAAATGGTCCGTTTAAGGGTACGACAAATAAATGACAATTACGAATATTTGAAGTGGTACTCGTCGAGGTCAGTACAAATAGCTGAAATAACAATAATTTTGAAAAATAAACTGGGCAATTTAAATTTTCATACTTTCGAATTTGCCTCTGCTCCGTTCATGGCAGATTTCTCACCATTAATTGGTAACTTTAGTTCTAACATGTTGGTAACGCCGGAAACTAGTTGTTGGCAGTCAAAAAGTTCTTTCATTGAAATTTGTTGTGTACGAGGTATGTATCCGAAATTCATCTTGATTTATTTAAACAAATTGCACTCATCTGCCAGTTAGTTGAATAAAAAATTGTCCAAAGTATCGATCCATAGTTGTTACTGTAATAATACTCCAGTTAAAAGAATTTGCAGATTGTAATTGTAGGTTAACATGGGGCGAGTTATTCGTGCACAACGTAAAGGTGCAGGGTCAGTATTTAAATCGCATACGAAGAAGAGGAAAGGAGCACCCAAACTTCGCGCTTTAGATTATGCCGAACGTCATGGTTACCTCAAAGGTGTCGTCAAGACCATTATGCATGATCCGGGCCGTGGTGCGCCTTTGGCATTAGTGCACTTCAGGGATTTGTACAAATTCCGCACTCGCAAGGAGCTTTTCATTGCCCCAGAAGGCATGTACACAGGACAGTTTGTGTATTGTGGAAAGAAGGCGAATTTACAAATCGGTACGTAACCTGCTCTATATATTAATGAATGATTCGACCATTGTGATGAATTCTTTCAAAACGATTTATACGTGAGATTTAAATAAGAGGCTATTTCTGAGGTCTATTCCTTTTAACAATGCAACGTGAACTTTTGGCACGTTACTCATTACATCTCCTTTTGTAGGTAATGTGCTACCCGTTGGGACTATGCCCGAAGGTACAATCATCTGTAATTTGGAAGAGAAAACCGGAGATCGTGGTCGTCTAGCCAGAGCTTCGGGAAATTACGCCACAGTCATCGCCCACAATCCGGACACGAAGAAAACCAGAGTTAAATTACCCTCGGGTGCGAAAAAAGTAATTCCATCTAACAACAGAGCTATGGTCGGTATCGTTGCCGGCGGCGGAAGAATCGACAAGCCAATCCTAAAGGCGGGTCGTGCCTATCACAAATACAAGGCGAAGCGTAACTGCTGGCCTAAGGTGAGAGGTGTCGCTATGAATCCCGTCGAACATCCACACGGTGGTGGTAACCATCAACATATTGGTAAAGCGTCGACCGTTAAACGAGGCACATCTGCTGGACGTAAAGTTGGTCTTATTGCTGCCAGAAGAACTGGTCGTATTCGCGGTGGTAAAACGGACGTTAAGAAAGACGATTAGAGTGTTAATATTTCATCTTATAATTTATGTGTTTTCATATAAAATATAAGAATATTGTGAGACCTGTTTTTTATTTGTAAATAAAAAAAAAAATTAAGGATATAGTTATCCTCCCCTTTTGGATGTTCAGTTATTAAAAAGTCCAGAGGTGCTTTGGAAATTCAGAAGTTTTTAAAATTTGAAATTTTATAAAAGAAAATTTGTTTCATTGGAATTGGAAAGAACGTTGAAATTGCTATAGTGGTAAGAAGCAAATTTGTCCCTCCCCCAAGCAGTTTGTCTAACAACTCCAGTATTGATACATGAATTGTAGAGAAGTTCAAATGTGCTAAAATAAGCCTCATCAGTCAATTGATACGTAAGGGCGTTCTGCAACACCAATTTTTTGCGCCTGGTCGACAGGCAACCTATGCACCAGCAATCACGTGGCCATCAAAGTGGTAGGGCAAAAGTTTACATAGACCATGTTATTTTGTTATTTATTAAGAAGTAGATAGAGACATTGTTTTTACCCTATGTCTACTTTTCTCTTTCTGCTGAAGGGCGCCTAATTTTATGCAACTAAAATAACTTTTTAAAACAAATAATGATCTGGCTGTCATATTAATTAATTTGGATAATGCCGTTTTGGCTTCGGTATGTTTCTTCTCGTTCATGTGTGATGTAACTGAAGAAAACATTTATATTGTCAATTGGTATAATAACAACATATATGTAAATAAAACATTCAGTTTTTATCTCTCATCAATCGAAAAGTGGCAGTAACAGTTTCAGAAGTGAAAGAGATTTATTTTCTGTGAAGCCAAGTACCAATAATTAATATGAAAGTCCTTTATTTGTTTAAGAAGTTTTTTTGGCTGCATAAAATTGGGCACCTTCAAAAGGATTTTTGTCATTTAAAAGTAGACACAGGAAAAAAAACAAAACACCTAAATCCGTATGTCTACTTTTTAATAAATAGCAACTGTACAGGGTGGCCATTTGAAAACGAAACAGAACCTATTTTGGTAACCTCAAAACATTAACGAAAAAATCCTCGGACCAGTCAATTTTTGATTCAAAGGGGAACAATTTTTTTGGTAGTTTCGCCCCCCTAAGGACAAAGCCCTAGCGGGGGTGACGACCGCCCCCAAAATTTTAAATCGAATAGGGGGTCGAGTAATACCTTATTTTGAAGGTATTTTTATGTGGATTATAACCCTTAAGTTTTAAATCGCTCCTAATTTGCCTAGCCGAGACAGGGGCTAATAAAAGTTAAAAACGTGTCAACATTTTCTTATGAAAAAAAAATGCTTGTAAATTAATTAGTTAAATAACAATTAATACAACAATAAATACAAAAAAATGTTGTTATCGTACATTCTGAACTGTACTTTTTTGTTGTTTTTTTTTTCTTTTTAATATCCGTAGGTGGCTATGACGAATGTTCCTTTTTCCTAAACGGTACTGTGAATCGTCACAACTGTCGCTATTGGGCTGATTCAAATCCCAGAATATTTCGTGAGGTGCATACACAATGTCCCCAAAAATTGAATGTTTGGGCTGGCATTTTTGGTAACCATATCGTAGGCTCCTTCTTTGTACCTGGCAATCTAACAGGAGAGATGTACCTGGAGTTATTAGAAAATACGATTCATCCAGCATTAGTGCAGATACTAGAAAATAACGAGTAGTCTAGTATTTCAGCAAGATGGTGCGCCACCCCACTATGCTGCAAGGGTTCGTCAATATTTGGACCAAACGTTTCCAGGACAATGGATTGAAAGAAGAGGAGCTATTGAATGGCCTCCTCGTTCCCCGGAGTTTCCGTTAGATTTTTTTTATGGGGACATTTAAAAATTAAAATTTATGCTAGTCAGTCAACATCGCTAGAGAACTTGCGACAAAGAATAATTGATGAATGTCGTCAAATCACCCCAGAAGTTTTGCAAAATGTACGGGAAAGGTTTGAACAAAACCTGTATTATTGTATGGAAGTCGAAGGCCAACATTTTCGACATTTACTTGATTGATTTTAGCTTTAAGCACTTAAAATAAAATTGATTTAAAACTTACAAGGGTTATAATCCACATAAAAATACCTTCAAAATAAGGTATCACTCGACCCCCCATTCGATTTAAAATTTTGGGGGCACTTGTCACCCCCGCTATGACTTTACCCTCAGGGGGGCGAAACTAGCAAAAAAATGGTTCCCCCTTGGATGAAAAATTGACGGGTCCGAGGATTTTTTTCGTAAATGTTTTGAGGTCCCCAAAATAGGCTCCGTTTCGTTTTCAAATGGCCACCCTGTATATGATCTATAAGGGCCAGGTAAGACGGGTTACAGAGGGGACTTATCCGTGCGCCGCTTAGTGAGAAGGATAATGTTGGAGGGCACCTAGCGAGTACCATTTGGGCGAGGGGAGGTTCGTTAGTTAAGGCTGTATTTGATTGATCATGTTTTACCACTTTTTCCCTCTATCCTGCAGTGATTTGATTGATAATAATAATAAATGTCTAATAAGTAGGTACCTAGGTTAAATTACATAGAAATGTGTATAAAGGGCGAGATTCAGTAATGGAATGAAACATACATATCATTTTATACGTGCTAGCAGCATTTCCAGCTCTCCTATTATGCATATTTAACCACTTTAGATCGATCAACTTGTGACTTACATGATCATATTTCCTCATTCCGAAAATCAATCTCTTACCACCCCACGAAATTGTGAGCATGGCTGATCTGTTTGAATGCTGTACAGGACGACTGCAATATGTTTCAAGCTGCGAAGTAGAGCATGCGCACCCCTTTCTCCCTGTTGACACATAGGGTACCATGCACTGCCGAACCGCATTACAAGAGAAGCAACTCGCTTCTGAGCATATCAGCCAGAATATTTTATAAAAGCTGAAACTTTCTCAGTGCATGCTTCCTTTCAACACAGGGTGGCTATGGCTGTTATACACTTTCGAGTCATTTTGAGTGACTTTGGCAGGTAACAGGATTCAAAGATGTAAACATACCAACGTGTAATTTTCTCATATTTTACTTCGAATTGAAGAATATAAGAAATCGCGTCATCCATTGTCGTGGCAACCCCTCCTCTTGCTAGATACCCTAAAACTGTACAGTTGAATTCGCGAAAGGCAAAGATAATACTACACCGAAAGATGAGCCCTGCTTCTCTAGTTTGTGAAGTAAGTAATTGCGACAGAGTTCTTTATTTTCTATCGCATAAGTATCAACACATGAGCGAGAAAGAGATGGTAACAATTGAAAATTGGTTCACAAACTAGTGACGCTCAAAAACTGTGACAACTGAAAAAATGTATCAAACATTACTTTTCAGATATCAAAAGAATTATTAAACGAACTGGAAACATGCAAATCATTTGGCAATATTCCAAAATCATGCGCAGATGAACCATCCTGTTGAAACCACCACTTTTTGTTTTTTTTTTGTGTGCCATACATCGTTGTGTTCCTAATAAAAAATGTTACTGGAAACTGTGTACTTTTTTGATGGCCCATATAAAAAAATAAGGCTAATAATGATACCTCCAAAACGAAATGTTGTATTGAAAATCTCCCGACTGTGTCTACAGCTCAAAAAGTGGCAGTGCGAAAGGTTTATTTTTCTGTATGTTAAAAGTTTCAGAAAAAAAAACAAATCGACAAATTTAGACTTTGTCCAATGTTTTTAATCGCACCCTTCGATAAATATATCGCATAAACACGAAAATGCAAAAAAAGTAAACAAACTTTAGTTCCGAAAATTTAGCAGCCACAGGCTTCAACGTGCAGCACTGCCCTTGATAGGATATTATGAGTTCCCTTTCTTTCATAGTCTACTTACAGAAACCTAACAGCTTTGCAACATGTTAGGGACATGTCTCGAACTTGAATTAAGAAAATTGTGTTTTATCAATATAGATTAGGTATACGCATTGTATAAATATGAGTGTCTTTTCTTTCTTGCATAAAATATAATGAATACATACCTTAGCAATTCCAGTAAACATCTGCGTCACCATAAGGAGTTTGATCATACATCTTTCTTTTTTATACAACTTTCGACCATTTTGAACCTAAATCACTCCTCTGGCGATAATCCAAATGGAAAATGATTACAACAGTAGGGAGCAAATAGTGTGTATACAAATACATTAATCAATAAAATAATACAGAAAGTAAACATAATAGTGACATCTGGCTTGCATTATTAACATTTTTACACGTAATAATTTAAATTAATTTATTTTTGTATCAATATGCTGTAACAGTTTTTTTACTAGAACATATAAATGCATTAATCAATAAATTACCCTCGGCAAAACTGCAAAGAGTAGAAGAGCATTTTGCCATCCCTTTATATAATTCATTTTTAACAATCTGCCTTCACACTAACCATTACGATAATATCTAAGAAATGATTAGATCGTAGACGGGTAGCGTAAACAAAACAATCGTAGATGTTGCAGTCACAGCTAAACTGTTACCTCTTATTTAATGTTTTAAATGTTAAGTATTAGAATGTGACATCACATTCTGTTAGAATAGGCACAAATTTTCTAACCATATCACAAGGGGGTAATACAACACTCAACGCAAGGGGTAACGCCTCATTTAAAAAATAGCGAAAATAAATATCTAGACAATTTTGAAATTACAAACTACATAATTAAACTCTACTACACTGGATATAAGTAACGTTATATAAAAAAATATTCAATAAGTTACTTATCGAGGCACAAAATAAGTGCCCACACTAACAATTCAATCGTCGCAGCTTCTCACTAATTATCTTTAAGTTAATTTTTTGTGATCATACGCTAAGACTTATTCACCATAAATTTCACGACTGCCTCCAAACAATCACCAAATTTTCGTCCCATAAATAACTACGCGAAATATAAGATCGGAAATATCACAGTCGCATACAGAATACTCTTAGCGTCTTCGACAGCTGTAACTGCAACGCAGTTCTTGAGCCGTGAACTCGGTCAGTCAAATGCATTATTGACTAGACGAGACGCAATATAATAATAAAGTACGCAGATCTTTTCACCTAAGAGGGCTCAACAGTCTATTATTATTATTATTATTATTTTTTTGAAACGAATAAATTCCTGCGCTACCTACCATCGGGATAGCAAAATTTTTCACTAGTTTATATATAATCAAAATCTTGTCTACACACTTGAAAGGTTGTACGAAGTTTTTCCAAATCGAGCCTAAATAATGCTAGTTCACCTACATTTAGTATTAAATAATTCTTATATAAGTGAGTTAACACGAATTCGTCAAATCCAGTATAGGTAAAAGGCACAAACAAACAAAATCAATCAATCCTAGCTGGCCGATGAGAACACAACAAAAAGTGGAAGAACAATTTTGAGTAAACCTGTACAACGTCCTAAATAAATTATTAAATATATATGACTATAGTATTAGACAGCCCGGATCGTAAAGTAACGCTTAACGTGTCCAATATGGAGAAGAATGTGCTGTGCAAGTAGAATAAAGGTGATTGGAAATTGATTCTTTTTTTTTAAATTAGTTTCCCCACCAATCGTCGCGGGCATTCGTGTTGCTGTAGTTTCCGCCATAATTACCTCTGTCGCTTCCATAATAACCACCTGTAGAAGAATAAAAAAAAGATCATCAATACGATTTAAACTATAGTAGATTAATGGTTGGGTGGGATCTGTATACTTGAAGATGTCCAGAAAATAACTCTTGCAGAACACATAAAGGGTGAGAAACAACATTTTGATTCAAAGTAGGCCATGGAAATTATAAGTGACATCTAATATTGGGTACGTTCTGCCGATATAACTGTTGCCTAACACCCTGTAAACGTGTTTTCTTGTTTATTAGCACACGTCAACATATAGACAAAAATTTGTGCAAGAATATTTGAAGATGATATAAACTGGAATTTTATTCAACACCCCAGTACTATTAGAACAAAAAGTGGGCAGATAGCCTACTACTTTATAATGAGCTGAACATTTGAGGATCAACTTTTTATGTAAAACAAAACCCGAAAAGTCTCTTCTAATGTAAGCTTGCAACCAAAATGACGGATCAAAGATGGTCGATACTCGCTAAGCACTATGTTAGCCTTGTCTGATGTTTTAACCATATTCTTTACTTCTGGAAATTAAGTGTGCTCTCTACATGAATTCAATGCTTGTCTGAGTTAGTCCAATGAAATGGTTATAAATGAGCTGTACTTTTATTTAATTTTTGTCAAATAACATTACGTTTATTTTGTCTTGGATTCTGAATATACAGGCCGATTCAAATTCGAGGGCCACCATAGGCATCTCGGTAGGTAGTTTAAATTTGGCAAAGTTGTGTATTTTGATGCTTTTAACAACATGCAGTTTTTAAACTGAAAAAATTTCAAAAAATATGATTAAAAACAACGGCCACCTTTGATCCGCCATTTTGTATGAAAGCTTAGATGCGAAGTCATGACTCTTCAGGTTTTGTTTTACTTGAGAGTTGATCCCCAAGCTTTCAGCTCATTATGAACTTGTGGCTTGCCAAACCCTAAATTTACTAGGCCATCAAGTGGCAGTAGTAGTAGTACGAATTTTCATAGCTGCGACGAGCAGCTAACGTTAGGCTTCCAAGTGCTGGTTCAACAGAACCGTGAAGATTCCCCATGAAAATAATGAGGTAAAACACTCCCAAATTTGTGGGTGCCAATTATTATCAACTGTTGACTTCCACCCATTCATCGTTCAGGTAAGTCAATGTCTCAAAATACTCAACAGTTGCGTCGGCTGAACGTACCCAATAATTTTAATGTAGGTCGATATTAGGTACAAGGTGTAAATTATGTATGGAATATAGTCAACTAACGATTGTACACAACATTTTTCTATACAAAAGTCGTTTAACATTTTATTTCCCGTAATAAGGCAGCATTCAGTTGTTTTTATTTCAACAAACAAATGAGTAACAAAAACAATTGCATTTTTAAATAGCAATGTACCCTTTCGTTTACGAGATTTTTTTTCTCTTTTGGATGATGTAACATGTTAGTACCCTTATATAATAAGTAAGTAAAAACTCGTTATGCAGTAAATTAAATCAATAAAATTAATCTAGATATCCTACATCAAAATAAGACAAATGAATGTGTACGTTTCTTATTAAAAGATAAAACAAAATTAGCAATAAAATGGTTTTCGTCACAATTAAACGCTCGCAGAAATTTTGGTGTAGTCGATTTTTGGTAAAAAAGGAAGGTTATACACTCCCTTCTTTCGAGGCCCTAAAAAAAATTGTCTCAGATCGACCCGGAAAAAAAATTTTCTTATAGCATGTGGCCTGTAGAATCCATAATTTCAAACAATTTGAAGATACTAAATTGGTTTCTAGTCTATAACTTTTAATAATAATAATAATAATAATCCAATGCCCATCAATAGGTATGTTGGTAAGTACGAATTACATAGTATACCTAGATGTCCAATGTACGTGTGTGATTTTTTTTATTATTATTTTTTATTTTATTTTATTTTTTTAAGGACCCTACATAACTTCACCAGACACAGACACTAATCGTTACTTGATTTTTAATCCGTGCGATTAGTTAACCAGGCTAGACCTGGTTCTCACAAGAAACACCGACCATAATAATATATATTTGGTCTAGTTGATCACAAGAATTGGATATAAGACAAGTCGTATAAAACAAACATATGTAACATATAACACATTAAAAACAATTTAAAAAGCAACACATTTACCTACATTAATGTTTAAAATTTAAATAATCTTGGACGAAATAAAAAGCGTTTCTTAATAGTATATTAAGATACAAGTGTATAATCAAGTCTTTAAAGCACGCGCAACGAGTTTAAGGGCACGACGCAAAGCGGAGTGCCTTTAACGTTGCAAGTGCTTTAAAGACCAATTATACACGTGTATCTTATAGTATTTTTTATTATACCTGCAGTATAATTTATAAAAAGGAATTACAATGAAGTCATGTTGACGTTATACTCGAATACATGTCTAATTAAGTGGGCTGGGTGTTCGTAATTTCACGATTGCCATGGAAATGAAATTTGACGTTTGCTTATAAAAATCATCGTCTTTGTGAATTAAACGATTTCCGTTGTAAAAGATAATACACCGTCCATTAAATCGGTTGTTGTAAAATCTAAACAAACGTTGGTAGGTGTAAAATCCAATCCAGTAAAGCCTAGTATAAAGAATATGAAAAGTTGTTTCCATGGATGAATAGGAAGTTACTTACGAATACACTCTTAAATGCATGGATAATGCTGGTATATATATATGAAGGAAATGTCAAAGGTATTTAAATCTTCTATATTTTGGTGCATTCATTCAAAATTTCAAAGCAATACTGCGATTAAAAAGTGGAACAGATTTGGAAGCATACCCTAAATACGCGCGTTTGTGAAAGCTTCAACCAAAGGATAGGTACAAAAGTCAAAGAAATGCTCTGCATTTACAGAAATCGACCTAAGAGGATTTTTTATTTCATCCAGATGACAGTTTCAAAAGTCATACTTGAAGTATCGTTACTTAGCAACTTTAAAGCACGTGTGTTTTAAAAGCCCTTTTTCGCACGCATTTGAGTGTTTAAAACGGAGATTGTGATTCAGGTATAATAAAATAGTTATTTATATAACAAGAGCGCGAAGTTCAATTTCGCGCATTGAGACTGAAGGTATTTTGACGAGGTGAAGCCGAGTTAAAATATCAGTCAAATGCGCGAAATAACTTCGCGCTAGCGTTATATACAATATTTTTTCTACAACTGAACCGATTGTTAATTAAATTGCTGTTTAAGTTCAACTTTTTCCCGTGTGCGAAATACTTTTTTTCACTGTTGACGATTTCGCGCACGTTGTCAATAGCAACCTTACCTATTAATTAACCGTTTAAAAATCTAGTACTTCGCGTTTCGAAATCCGTCAGAAAATGACACGTTTTTTTGACAGTTGTAGAAAAAAGTATTTTTTTAATTTAATTTAATTTTAATTGAGAAGTCTAATCGAAAAAGTACAAATTGTTTTGGATTCTACCCTCCAAAATTAATAAGAAAAAGTGTTTTCCCCGAGACATTTTGGTGTAGTCGATTTTTGGTAAAAAAGGAAGGTTATACACTGCCTTTTTTCGAGGCCCAAAAAAAAAGTCTCAGATCGCCCAGGAAAAAAAATTTTCTTATAGAATGGGGCCTGTAGAATCCAGAAACAGTTCCAAGATGGGCTACTAGTTCAAAAGTTACAGCCCTTTGAATTTTCTTTCGAAATTGGTTTCTAGTCTATAACTTTTGATTGAGAAGTCTGATCGAAAAAGTACGAATTGTTTTGGATTCTACGCACCAAAATTAATAAGAAAAAGTGTTTTCCCGAGAAATTTTGGTGTAGTCGATTTTTGGTAAAAAGGAAGAAATACACTGCCTTTTTTTGAGGCTCGAAAAAAAATTGTCTCAGTTCGCCTAACCTCTCACGAAAAGCTTCAAATGAACATCTGAGCATTCTGGGAGAAATTGTTGTAGCAATTGTTACTAATTTCGTTTTGTCTTCAAGGTGTAATAAGGACCGTACAAGTTCTTATGTTTTATTTTGATGTAGGATATCTGGATTAATGTTATTGATGTAATTATAACAAACTTTAAAAAATCTTGTATAAGGATACTAACATTTTTAGTATGTTCCGTGAATGAACCAATATTATTGAAACCGTGGTTGCTGTGTTCTCCGGTTATTTGTGGTGACGTTCTATTAACTGATATTTATTATTTTCCGATTTCCTTTTCCCGCCAAATCACTAATTAACTAGAACCAATCTTTTTCTACAGAGCGGCTGGTTGCAACCATAAAGAAATCAAAACTTTGCTGCTCACTCGTTATATCATGATTTGCATTTTTAATAAACTTAAATAACCTTCTAAAAGATGGTAATCTTTTTAGAGGCCTTCCTAGTAATTTTACTAGAAACCTTTTTCAAAACCTTTGAACAATCCTAGTTTTTTTTAAATTTTTACTTCTTTCTATGTATGACTCTTAGAAGAAACGTTCTGACCGTTTTACAAATTTTCTTCAGGATTATGTTCAGAGAACTGTCGCGGTAATCTTTCTTCTGAAAAGCTTCAAAGGAATCTTGGAATGACATAATGAATGCAATATTTCTAGGACTAAGAAAAATCTTTCTGGTAGCGTTTTTAGAAATAGTATAAAAATCCTCGTCTGTCACATATAGGCAGTAAACTCTGGATGACAAAATTCCCACAAATAATCTCTGGAAACCTTCATGCATACAGGCGACCCCTATCCGGGGCATTGTATCCTTACCATTACCTGAATTGTTGTATCCATTACTTCCATACCCACCGCCGCCGCTCCCACCAGATCCGCGGGTGTTTCTTTGCATTCCACCCGATTGCTGGCGGAAATCTCTACCGCCAAAACTGCTACCGCCGCCGCTACCGAAACGATTCTTCCCACCACGACGACCGGATGTGGGTGCCCTGCCATCTAGGGCCACATTTTCCAACCAGGATGGTAGATCTTGCTTAGCCTCTACTAGAAGATCAAGCATGGCAGTTGCTAAGTTGCGGTTACGATCATTGAAAAATGACGTCGCCAAACCTAAAAAATACAATTTCAAGCCGTATCATCTCAGTAACAGAAACATACCTAAGTTGCCCATTCGACCGGTACGTCCAATTCGATGGACGTACTCTTCGACGTCGGATGGTAGATCGAAATTAATGACGTGTTTTACGTGAGGAATATCGAGCCCTCTAGCGGCAACGGCCGTGGCTACCAGAATTGGCGTATTTCCCGATCGGAATTGCCTTAGGGCGTCTTCTCGTTCCCTCTGAGTACGATCTCCGTGTATGGAAGTTACCGGGTACCCTTCATTGTGAAGGAATTCTTCTAAGGAATCGGCCCCCTTTTTCGTTTCCACAAAGACTAGAGTTAGACTTTCGGCGGACGGTTGTTGTAACTCAGCCGCGTTCAAGAGGTCCAATAAAAACGAACGCTTATCGTGTTCTTCCACCCAAACAACTTTCTGGGTTATATTTTCAGATGTAGAACCGACACGTCCGACTGCCAAGAAAATATAGTTGTCTAAGAAGTCACGAGCTAACATTTGAATGGGAGAAGGAAACGTGGCGGAGAACATAAGAGTTTGTCGTTCTCCCGTTCTGGGCATATTTTCTTTTTCGAGGATGCGACGAATTTGCGGTTCGAAGCCCATGTCCAACATGCGATCGGCCTCGTCCAGAACCAAGTATCTGCAATAATCTAAGCCGATTTTTCCACGATCGATCATATCTAACAGTCGACCAGGGGTTGCTACCAACAGATGGCAGCCGCGATCGAGATCTCGAATTTGTTCGACAATGTTGGCACCACCGTAACTGGAATGAAACTAATGCGTTATCGCCTTGAACTGAGGACTACGCATATTATAGCCAAATGTGCAAAATTTGCATGGATTCCTATGGAAAAACGTGACGCTATCGTAAGTTATATGTTAAAGTCACTAAAGAAAGTACCGCAATCCATTGGGCTCGTGTTAGAGAGAGAACGCACGATTTTTGCCTAAAAATGGCGGAAGTTACCAGATTCTAATAACTTTAATGTTAGGGATTGTTCCACCTGTTTGGAGATATCTGTATATATTTTTATAAAACATGACAGTACTATGAAGTTAGGTTATAAAAAATGACAGCTATATTTTATTTGTCAATTTTTTTAAGTTGGCAGCAAATTTGCCCAAAAATGGCGGATGATTGCGATACTTTCTATATCTAGTGGCTTTATTATATGTATTTCTTCATTGAAATGAATGTAGCATCGCCGTTTTGTTATAAGAAATCATGTCACATGTCGGGCTGTAATTTATGCGGGCCCCGCTCGGAACAACTTACACCACGCAAGGTCGAACACGCGAGCGGTACGAGAATTTTTTACTTTCGTCGTAAATTTGAGTCGCCAGTTCACGTGTCGGGGCGAGGACGAGACCAAACGGGTACTGTTTGCGTCTGTAGCCTCGGTTAATGTTAGGCGGACCGCGTTCGTACATTTGATTTAAGATTGGCACTAGAAATGCTGCAGTTTTGCCGGATCCAGTTTGCGCGCAGGCCATGACATCTCGTCTCGCAATTATAATTGGGATCGCGTACTTCTGTACAGGTGTAGGTGTATCGTATCGAGCCAAATTTATGTTGTTACGAATTATTTCTGTCAGCTGTACTTCCTCAAACTGCAAGCAAATATCGCAAATTCAGATATGGAGCATCACATAAAATTTTCGAGAACAGCATTTTATAGTGGCAGTGATTCTTAGGGCCAATCTTTCCAGCTCTAATAAGTACCCTGACAACGATTGGATCAACAATGGTATCCATAGAACTTATTTGGAGAATAAAGTTATAGAGAGGTGGAAAGACTAGGACTAAGACTACTAGAAGTAGATTAGTAAAACTAAAAGAAACAGTTGGGCCCCCCCCCCCCCAACTATTCTATACTGCACTTAACCACAGTAGATTAACGCCCGGTATTATAAATCATAGCAATGTTTATTCATTAATCCACCGACCGTTAGTAGTTTGAGTGAAGTCCAGGGAGTCGCTTTGAATAATTCTCATAAAAGCACAGTCAGAGTACTACGCAATACCGTTGATTCAGCTTAATTTTATATAGGAAGGCAGATCCAAAACCTAAATGCGCAGGCAAGTATACAGGGTGGAAATTTTGTCTAGAATATATCTTCAAAACAACATTTTTCTTAAAGAAGCTTTTATGGCATCTAAAAGTATAAAAAGTTTGCTCCCAATCTATATCTGTATGTAAAAGATGAAAGTTTATTTCAATCCAAAATAGTAAAATTATAAAATTAATTAACATATTTTCCTTAATTTGTTTGTCTCTTAAATTTGATTATGTACAGGGAGATTCACGCAGCCCGTTCGTTAATTAGAAGTTTTTAAACTTGCTGTTAAAATAGAAATTCCAAAATCAGCAGATGCTTCTTCTTTAATCTAAGAAATGAAGTGACATGTTTTGTCAACTATTCTATTACTCTCAGCATGTCCATAAATAACAAACAAATCGAAAACAACACAATGTGGATAATGTCAACAGTGAAAATGTGACGAATTTGAACACTGTTTGATATTTGATTCGACTGTCATTTCAAGTAAAACAATTGCTTCCAAAGCCTACCACACCTAGTGAAAAAATTAGAATATTTCTTTCAAAAAATGCCATAAGTCATAAACTATCGGATATAGGGATACAGACTGTTAATAAAAGTGGTCCTAAAATTTAAAGCAACATTCATTTCTGGCATCAGAAATAGTAGCTCTGCAATTTGAAAAACTGAAGTTTTTGACATTTTTTAATTGCTAACTTTGAAAAATCGTAGCAGCCCTGAAACTTTGTTCAAGGCTTTCAAAGCTTCAATTATAAAATAGAGTACTTACTTATTTCAAACGGTTTAAGAGATATGAATTTTTGAATTGACCCTTACATCTCCACATTTTTAGAGAAAAATAGACGTATGTCAAAAACCGTGACAGAAACTTAAACGCGTTGAATTCAGAATAAAATTTTAGAAAAAAAATTAAAAAATGGTATGTTTATAACAACCAAGATGGTGCCAACGTTGAGTATTTGCGAACGCAGTGAACCAAATTTCTATTTCAACTATTACTTTAAACACTTCTAACGAATGGGCTATGCTGCTTAATATGTAATGAAAAAGTTGCCATTAAAAAATATGCCCCCCCTGACCATGCAAAGATACGCCACTTATCCCAAATTGGATCAGTAGCAAACTTTTTACAATTGTGGATACCATAAAAAAAAACCTTGCAAAATTCAGTGTTCCAGATAAAATTTCCACCCTGTATAACTACACAAGGAAAATTGTTCAATTACAAAATAGGATGCAACATTCCATCTCTGATAAAGAGTGCGTAATAAATTCTCCAGCCGCCTACACGGATTTTCCTTTACCTTTAAATGTAATTTGATATACCTGGTGAATTTTTAAAACCGAACATAAGCAATTAACATGGGAAAAACGTTTTTTTGCAGATTGTTGCTCCCCATGTTAACTTAAAGGGTTTATAATGACACGAATCAAAAGAGATTTTTTTTCTCATCTAATGATATACAAATTAGGTTATTTTCAGGTGTATTTCTCATTATTTTATCAAAAATTCAGCAATAAATCTAATTAGCATCATCTTAAGCCATGGAAATTTCCTAAAGAATTGCAATAGGTTTTCGCACAGACGTAATGGAACGCTCATTAAAATGTACGGAAATCAAATATCGCATACTAGAGTAAATATTTCCGCTGTCAATATATCACAAATGGAAATTCGTGATGCTATCCGCAAAATTAACCTGATCGTACCTCCCTTAACAGTAGCAGACGAATCTAACGACGTTAATTTAGACTCAGAACTTCAAAAATGTAAAAATATACAAGGTGTTCCATTTAAAAATTTAAAACCTGGATGGAAACTGAAAAATATGGGAAAGCTCCTCTTCACATACCATTTACCTGTACCAAAACAGGGAAGCTTTGATTTTCACTGTGATTGGTTAAAATATGAGTCAGTATTACGCTGAAAAATAAAACGAGTGAATGCAGTACAGTCGCAATATTATTGTTAAGACTAGAAATACCTCCTACGTCGACAATCAGCATTAGCCTGCCAAAATGCGGAGACGTGCGCATCAGTTCATGCCCAATGCAAACAGAAAAAGTACACAGGGTGCCCATTGTGTATAGAATATGGTTTATATCTCGGTAAATATCAAATGTAACATTTTATTTGCCATAATGAGACAGCATTCAGTTGTTTTTATTTCAGAAAACAAATGAGTTAGTGAAAAACAATTGCATTTTTTTAAAATAGCAGTGCACTTGTCATTAGGCTCAATTGATAGAAATTTTTTTTCTCTTTTCGATGACGGAAGATATTAGTAGCCTAATACAGGAAAATTATTCAAAAAAATTTATTATAATTACTGATAACATTAATCTAGATATCCTACATCGAAATAAAACAAATGAATGTTTAAGTTTCTTATTAAAAACTTTGAAGACAAAATGAAATTAGCAATAAAACGGTTTTCATCACAATAAGTGTTCAAAATATTTTTATTATTAACTGCAAGGAAAGCTTAAAATGAATGTCTGAGTATTCTGGGAGAAATTGCTGCAGCCATTATTTTTAATTTTGTGTTGTCTTCAAAGTTTAATAAGAAACGTACACATTTGTTTGTTTAATTTTGATGTAGGATATCTAAATTAACGTTATTGATGTAATATGTAATTATAATAAATTTTTTTGTATATGGGTAATAACATGTTACATCATCGAAAAAAGAAATAAATTCTCTATCAAATGAGGCTGAAGATAGGGTGCATTCCTATTTTAAAAAATTCATTTGTTTTGATTAAACAAATGAATGCTGCTCTACTATGGGAAATAAAATGTTAAACAACTTTCATAATAGAAAACTTTGGTATACATTCGATATATACCGAGATATAAACTATATTCCATACCCTGTATAACGTCTTGGTTGCAAGATATCGATCAGCAGATGACACTAGATCAAAAAAAAATTGTCCCTTCCACATTCCACGACCAGTGAACGAGAATTCCTGTGGAAAATGCACACCCATTCTTAATACGTGTATGGTATCAAATATTTTTGTAGTTATATTGTGTAATGTGTTATCATTATAAGAGTATTAATTTAATTGTTTTTGGTGTACGTACACACTACAGACCTAAAGACACTGTGTTTTGTAAAAAATCACAACAAATTGGGGGTTTTAAACCCCTCATAACGACAGATACTCACACCATAAGCGCCCCTTCCTCCCAAATTAAACCGATGCCTACATATACTCTTACCATAATTTACCAATACACCACTGGCCATTTGTACCGTTAAACTTTAACTATTTTTAATATTAATCACAGTTTAAGTTTGATGGAAAAAACTGAAAGTGTAAACCTTAAATGTGACGAATAAAAACCATGATAAGCCTTTGTTTTCCACACTCCTCAAGTCTCCCTCACAGGAAAAAAAAAGTTAAAATGCCAGGAATGTCTTCTATAATCTTTTTTTTTCAGAAAGATTGAAAAAGGCGAATGTTATTAATAAACGAGACACACTTCTTTGTTGTGAGCAGACGATAAAACTCCTACTATTGCCCAAACATTTCTATCAAGTACGACATCTGTATAAAAATAATGAAGGGCATTTTTAGATCCCTATCGACCTGGTAATAGTCGATGCATGTTGCACAGACAGTTTTTCTTTGTTTTACACAACAGGACTAAAGTAACTTGCCACCTACAACCAAAACTGTAGTGTGCAATTAACCACAGTCTAGTTACTCTGCCTAAATCGTGATCCATAGCTGTGAGATAAACCTGTTTAAATAAAAATATGACAATTAGCTCCATGGACCATGTGTAAATAAATGAACGTAAAGCAAAGACACTAAATATTTGTTTTATCAGTACGAGTTCATCAAGTCCAAAACTTAATCTTAGTGGTTAATTATAAACTAATTACTCACTTACGTAAACGATTACTTACAGATGTAATGTGACGAGGGACTTGGTCTCCAGTCGCCTCGACGGGGATATCTTCATATTTGCTGAAATTGATTCCGGTATTTCCCGTACCGAACAGTTCAATTTCGAGCCGATCATCCTTAGGAAGCGGGACGGTCCAATCAGTTTCGCTATTACGACTTCTATCGTTCCATCGGCCGCCTCCATCACGATTATCGTTCCATCGACTGTTGTCTCTGGGCTTCTCCGGTTCCTTCCAACGATCATTACGGGGCATGTCACGTTCCCGTTCCGAGTACCGACCACCTCGTCCACCGGAACCGGACCATTCGTTGCCGCCGCTGCTGCTACCTCTGTCGTAGCTCTCGCCATTTTGAAATTGGTCTCTTCGATTTCTGGTATTAAAGCTGGAGTAGTCGCCGCTGCGATCGCCGCCGCGATTGGTGCTGCCTCGATTGTAGTTGCCGCTGCCCGACGTGCCGCCGCCGCGAGGTGTTCCTCCTCTTGGATCGTTGCGATCAAAGCCGCGATCTTTCTCGACACCGCTGTTATCGGATTGGCTTTGCAATTTGTTACGTAGATGAGGGATTATGTAGCGGGCGGTGCTGCCGTTACCGCGTCCCTGCAAGTCCAGACCAGCAAACTGAAAAGAAGAGGAGTAGGTTATCTCTCAATTTTGTAACAAAGAGCCAGCGACCAACGTCTAACGGAATTTCCCCTAAACGTGCGTGTTGCAACCTCAATGTAAGAAAAAGGCGATCTAAACGAATGAGCGTAAAAAACAACTTAAAAGAAGTGTTAAATTGTCGATCAATAACGGCAGACCGGGACGACCTCCATTAACAAAAGCATCTCTTATTCACTTGAAATGATGGCGTTAAATGGAATCCACTCACCTGCTGCTCTAGACCTGATCCATTTTGGTTGGGTACATTACTCATATTACTATTAATCAGTACGTGTTTTGGAAATTTCTGGCTGAGAATTTTCCTAAATCGATTTTATACGGAGCGTCTATCACTAAACAAGAACAGAGAACTTCAGAAATGATTTGTTGCAGGAAAGGAAACCAGTCAATCTAATGCGCAGGCCGAATGGTACGAGGCGCCATTTTCAAATCGAAAAATTCATTCCGAATTATATTTATGTTTGCAAGATTTTCCTCTTTTTAATTAACAAAATATTTTACGAGAATTTTTGATGTTTCCAATGACGTTGACATGACCTTTTGTTTTTAAATTTCCAGCAATTTTTGTAATTCAAGTTGGTAACTACAGGCGCTATAAGAGGGCGCCATTATCGGACAGTGGCGTGTATCAGAAATTTTGTTTGGTACACATGGGCGGGTGATTTGTCATATGATAAGTAACAAGCATTTAGATTTGTGTTTACACTATACTATTTTTGGTACTATGGCTGTCATAAGACAAATCATAAGGAATTAATATGGAAATAATACGTAAATCGTGGAATAGGGATGTTTCTATTTCTGTATGACAAATGACATGACTTATTTTAAATATCCAAGTGATCCCGCTCTTTTATGGTTACTTTTCGCATTTTGCTGTTGTAGGTACTTATCTGAAAAAGTTGAATACTTGAGTAAACCAGTAAACTTTTGATTATATCATTGATTATAAATGTGTATAATCAATGATTATAGGTATATTAGTTACTAATGAAAAAATAAATTACATAAACAATAAATCGAGCAATAAATGTTTACGAGTATATTGGTATTTGGTTGTCTGGTTGTAGTGGTGTTTTCAGACACACATTGTCAAATAGTGTCTTGATTGGTAATTATCCCTTCAAATGTTTGGGGTAATCTTTCAAATAAGGGTACACTCATCCTTAATGTCACCAAGGGGACGACTCTGTTTGCTTTGTTAATGAAACGCATAACGAAGAAATTATTTTTAAAATAATTGTTAAACTTTTTTCGTTAAAAATGTACTATGATTTTTGAGGCACTTTAGAAGTTCACCTATTTGTGCTTTACAGGTGATTTTTTTGAGTTCTAAGTTAGCCTGAAGGTACTTTTTTGTTGAATACTTATTGTGATAATTAGCGATTTATTTTAATACAGAAGTTAACCGCACAAAATTGCCAATTTATTTAAAATTTTGCGGGATCCCGCAGATACCGGGTTCCCGCGGGATTAACATCTAACGATCCCGCAAATACCGGGATTGAGATTTTGCTGCGGGATTGCATTCCCTAGCTGTAACTTTTGAACTAGTAGCCCAATCTTGGAACTGTTTGAAATTATGGATTCTACAGGCCACGTTCTATAAGAAAAATTTTTTCACAGGACGATCTGAGACAATTTTTTTTTCGGGGCAAAAAAAAGGCAGTACCTAACCTTCCTTTTTTCCAAAAATCGACTGCACCAAAATTTCTCGGAAAAACACTTTTTCTTATTAATTTTGGTGCGTAAAATCCAAAACAATTCGTACTTTTTCGATCAGACTTCTCAATCAAAAGTTTTAGACTAGAAACCAATTTCGAAAGAAAATTCAAAGGGCTGGTAACTTTTGAACTAGTAGCCCAATGTTGGAACTTGGAACATTTTAATTTAGAGAATATATATAGGTTTCGTAACTTCTTGTATTAAAGTCATATGAAAAACCTGTTAAGTGTAAAGTAAAACATTAAAACTCATACGAAAAATATGTTGGTAGTAAATATCATATAACATATCATATAAAAAATCATGTGAGATATATTATAGTGTAAAGGTACCTTTAGAAAGGTAATAAAATCTTACATTTGATGCGATAAACAAAATTTGGTAGTTCCATTAAAAAAAAATCAAGTTACCTTTGATTGAAATTTTGAAAATTGACGGAGTGATTTCTTTTAACACAAAAGAAGTTTAACTTTAGCCGTTCGACGTGTGCGATGTGCCACTGCAAAGTCACGGCCTTCTAAGTTTTATGCGATACTTAATTTTTACTGGACATTACTTTTTGAAAAAAACGACGAATTGCGGCAAACCGACTCATTTTAGATATCATGTGTAATACATAAAGTAAAAAGTTACACTAAAATTGACCAAGGAATCTAAATATGTAATAGATAACATATAGGGGGTTCCATTTAAAAAATGTAACTTTGATATAAATCACCCTGTATAACAATTTCAATTTCGTTGAAAATATTTTTAGATTGTAGTGTTAAGGATCCCATTCCCCCACTGTAAATTCGCGTTAATAATAAACCCATAATCTTCCACCCACACACTATTTGCCCACCCTGTATACCGCTGGCGTGTGACAGGTGACTTATTTGCACTTTTACCCTAAACGTACAAGTCGAAATTTCAAAATGAGAATGTATATCACATATTGGCCTTTGATGAATAAAATCTAAGTTGGCTGTAGTCAAAATTTAGGATAGTACCTACCTATCTATTCAGGTAGCAAACACTCTAAGAAAAGGTGAAATACACAGGATGTGACACATCATTGGTGCAATAAAATTCTTTTGTTAAAAGTAAGATGGAAAAATTAAATGGCCTTGGAGGCAAATTCAAATGTTAGGACAAACCATGTGAAAATAAGTGAAGCAACTATCACGCATAGATTCAAAACCGAAGATTTTTTTATTAGCGTAATCTTGCCACAAGATAGATAACTCGCCCCTAGTTTCGGGGTTTCGAGCCTACAGTTAAATATCAAAGACAATCACGGGATTAGGTGTCGTAACTCATTTGATTACAGTTTTTATCACTCCCATGACTGCTTCATTCATGGCGAAAATGTTAGTTTACAAACAAGATGTCAATAGGTACGCATACACACATCAAAACAATTCGATAATTTCCACATGTTTAAAAGTATGATCAAAACTTATATGAATGTTACTTCTGGTCAAGACCATGTAATCAAAACATAAACATAAATTAAAGCATTACAAACGAAAGGATAACGGTATCAAATTATGTGATTCTGCATTAAGATTAAATCAAGTCAATTTCAAAAACAAAGGTTGAAACTAACAAAAATATAAAATGCTGCATACAAAACACAAATATACGATGTACATAAATGCATAGATTACTACCTGCATTAAATAACACAAAAAAATTATCAAAGTCCTCGTTTGAGATCGAAGGGACTTCAGCGCATTTTTGTGTGGCAGATCAGTATTCTATTAGCCACTTTCGACTCAACCATCAATAACAGATCTTGTCGAAGGCTACTACATTCACTAACCGCTTCCCACTTTCCTCGTGCACCCGCAATTCGCTTTTAAAGATTTGACTCCACCATCAGGAAGATCGTGTCGGGGGCTACCACATTCCCTTTGACGGTACCCACTTCCGACGTCCCGTTCACCCGCAATTCGCGTTTGAAGATTTGACTCCACCATCAGGAAGATCGTGTCGGGGGCTACCACATTTCCTTTGACGGTACCCCCTTCCGACGTCCCGTTCACCCGCAATTCGCGGTTGAAGATTTGACTCCACCATCAGTGAGATCGTGTCGCGGGCTACCACATTCCCTTTTACGGTACCCACTTCCGACGTCCCGTTCACCCGCAATTCGCGTTTGAAGATTTGACTCCACTATCAGGAAGATCGTGTCGGGGGCTACCACATTCCCTTTGACGGTACCCCCTTCCGACGTCCCGTTCACCCGCAATTCGCGTTTGAAGATTTGACTCCACCATCCGGAAGATCGTGTCGGGGGCTACCACATTCCCTTTGACGGTACCCACTTCTGACGTCCCGTTCACCCATTTTTCTCAGTGTACGAATACAAAATAATTGAATTGAATGCATAGTAGTCAAAGAGTATTTATTTTATTTTTCTATGATTTTGAAGAAAATATTTTATTTATGGATGTTGCTAATGTTTCGTATACAGGGTGTAGAAACAGTTTACGTACCATATAATAGGAATTGCAATGGTAATTTCTGTAAGTATATTGAAATGTTTTCTACCCTATAATTATTTTACAGCAAAGTTATGTAAATAAATTTTTTGTATAGATTGTAAAATTGCGTCGACATTTGTAATAAATATTTGTTGTGGGAAATTGGAGAAATTAAGGGAATTATAAATTAGCATTTTAGTACCTACAAAATTAATCGTGCCGTGAAATTATTGAAACAAAGCTTCGATTTTTTCCGGTTTCCCGAATTGAAAAATAATAAATGTGGACATAAGCTGGACGCAGAATATTTGAAGCTACAAGAAACCTAGGATACAAAAGTCGCTTAAATGGGTCAAAAATTGCAAAATTTTATGTAGTAGGTAAGTACCTACATTAATTTTCCTTTTCAAAGTTCTTTTGTAGCGCTACAAATAACGAAGTTATGGTCAAAACACAGAAAAATGTCATTTTCGAAAATGCGCTGGTGTTCATTTATAAATAATTTAAGCAAACCCTTATATAGTAATTTTTTCTCGCCTTTCTAATGTTGTGTATTCCTTATGGCAATAGTTCCATGGCCGTGTTGATTTGATGCTGACTCTACAAGACAATAAACGGAAAATATTAAATAATTTCAAGCAAGCCATGAAATTATTGTCATAAGATCTAAACTTCAAGGCAAAAATTCAAGGTTTATTGCCAAATGAAGTACTGTAAGTGTGCGTAGTACGGTACTACACTACACTTAAGCTTGTTTCACAATTGACGCAAACGTAAACGCCAACGGAAACGCAAACGGTAACGTGAACATGAACAAATTCGCAGTCTCACAATTAACGTTACGCTCCTGGAGTGTTAAGTTTTGTCACGGAATATTTTGTTTATTAAAATGTGTTCTGTGGTAGTTGAACTAACCTAAAAAATGGATACCGACAGCGAAACTGACGAAGTAATAGTTTATGTATTCATGTTACATATTTACAGACTATTCTATTCAATTCAACGAACGGATAATCATGCAATACTTCGTACAAAAATAATTAAGTTTGGTCTTTAAAGGTTATGTGGCTGGATCGCAAGCGCGCGCATGTTTAAAACGCCAACGGGAACGGGAAAGATAAAAGTTGACCAACTGTCGCGTTTGTTTCACGTTTTCCCGTTCCCGTTGCGTTATATGTGAATGGAAATAGTAAATATTCATGTTTTAATTAAATGCTCACGTTCACGTTCGCGTTAGCGTTCACGTTGGCGTCAATTGTGAGACAGGCTTTAGGTAGGTATATATAGT